ATAGTGTCTCTACCAAGGCCCTGAATATAGTAAAATGTTCAGATTGCATTTTGCATGGCAACCTGTATAACTGGCCTGTCCATTCTGGACATCAGAATTTTATCTGTAAAATTCAAGGTTTGATACCTTATAATGGCTGCAAAAAGTTGAGAAAAAACAAACCCAAGCTATGGAATAAACTTTATATAGACTACTATGCAAATTATTTAAGCATAGATATATATAAAACCAATTATACCCCCATAGTGGGGTAGGAGGGTATCTTCAGGAATGGCGAAACCTTTTGATCCATAGCCAGGTATGACTAAAGACATGCTTCTGCTCCATTCCCATCCAGAAGGTCTTCACATGTCCTCTGATTCTGCATTATGGTCTTCTGTAGGACCTATAGGGCCCATGTTCCCCATGTCCACCTTTGATGGCCACCTCCCAATTTTGAGATTTTGAGAATCCTTAGTCTTTCTATCTGTAGTAGTTCCAAGTTCAAGCCTTAAGTGCTGACTGAGTCACTATATCAATATTCTATGGTTCTAGTGGCCGTTATTTCTAATATACCAGTGCAAATACCCACAAAACGCTCAAAAAGGTTCATAATCCTGCAGGCATCTCTGCAACTACTATGGAGCTGAGAAGTATTCTAGAGAGAAAAGCACCATTTCCAGATGAAGGGCCATCTTCTGGGCTCTCCCCCAACATTCAGAGGTCCTCCACCCCAGTCTACTTCTAATGTCTCACCAACATCCCAGCCCACAGCAGCTTGGAGTATTGCAGTTTCTCCATTTCACATTCTCTCATGTCTGGTTTACACGTGCTCTCATAAAACCTGGGGAGGATACTCTTTTTTGTCATCTCTGGGTCTTCCATGAACAGACATCCACCCCTTTCATGAGCAATTGTCAATCCAATTCCCTCATGGTCTTGCAGTGAATTATGTGGCGCTGCCATGAATCACAGTGATCAGTCAAAGGTTGGGTGGTGAATCCAAGTGAAGCCAGTCAGAGTCCCTTCCCTGGCAACTTGGAATTGGAACTAAGTGATTCCAGACTCATCTGGCTACTCTCTTACAGACATTGTGGCATGGCCATTTTCTATCCAATGCACTGAGTATCAGAGAAAATTAATCACTGTACAGAAAGAAGGCAGCAGACACAGAGAGATGTGGGGACAAGAGATGAAGTGAGAGAAAATCCTTGGCTCCTAGAAACTTTACGAGCCCCGGTTTCAATACTTCCTGAGGCCCTGATGTATTACTGCCTTTGGATTTCCTGCACCACCTTGTATCCTTATTATTTTATATTCCTCTTCCATGATTTTTGCTCTTGCCAACCAAAACAATCCTAATAAATGCTGTGCTTCTTATTGTGAAGAATTCTACAACAAAAGCTTGCTTCTCATTTCTTATAAAAGCTCAACAACATAGCTGATAACAGCAGCCTCGGACGTTCTTGAGGAAAGTCGCATGGTGTAGCAGAAGATATTTTCTGAGGTCAGATATTCAAAGCTTCAAATCTGCACCACTAGGAGTGTGGTATTGAACAAGCTCTTTAACCATTTTAGACTTCAGCTTTTTCATCTGTAAAATAGGGATAATAATTGTTACTAGGCCATGTTGTCCTGGGGATTAGAGATCATGTCCAAAGAGTGCCTAGCACTCTCCTCGGCACAC